CCCTCCTGCACACAGAAACACAGTGCCACCCCCACCATCTCCATTCAGAAGTCTGACACAAAGTTAATTTCCCAGCTCCATTATTTTAACTGTATTTCTCTTCTGTTTCAAGTGCCTTCTCCTCATTAGACAGAGACTGCTTCTCTTCAGTTTTAAGGCACATCCTCGTGGGCCACTCTGTGCTGCTTTTCTCACTGTGCAGAAATCTCCCATTAGCCTCCACAGACATACTGTGGTCCTTTCTTCAGTCTCTCCTTAAAAATCCTTTGTCATCATTCCTATAAAAAAGGTTCAATAACCAGCTATTAGCTTGCTGATACCGTTGCTTGGATGGTTTGGGCTTTTTTTTATACCGTGTTTCAAGCTCTATTTAGATTGAAAGGCAGAGTCCACATGGTCTGCACTTCCAAAGCACTGAAATCCTATTCCATAACCTGGACTTCTAAGGACAAATAATATATAATATTACACTGAGATTATTTTCAACTGGTCTTGAGTTCTGAAAAGGATCAGCAATGTTATTACTGTGTTTTGTTAGACTGGCTGTTCCTTGCCTGGCAATCTCTCTGAGTCTGTCTTACAGTTGTGTTTTCTGCTTGGCACCATGGAGAAGCTGTAGCTAGTTCAACTTGCAGCTGCATCTGGCATGGTGAGTGAGCCCTGTCATGCCCATCTCCAGGGGAAGCTGCTGCCTCCTTATTTGCTGCTGGCTACAATTCCAGAGGCTGACTGCTGGCTAGATCACTTCTGTGAGCTGTAACGAGAATGATACCCCCCCTTTCCTATATTTCAGAATAAAAACCAAGTTTACAGAGGCTTGAAGGGACAGGAATTGAAGGTAGGCAGCTTTTTGTTGGAGCCTTTCTCCTTGGAACAGCCTGTTGTTGTGACCATGGTCTTACACTCTCCCTCATGGTGTGCAGTGGAACATTTTGTTCAGCCCTGCTTACCGAGTCATTATTGATTGACTGCACAGAGGTATTGCTTAAAATCATGGTGTTCATGTAATTTTTAAACAGCTCTGTGGCCAGCTGTGTTGTCATGCTAGTTTTTACTTGGCAACTCTGTGATTTACAGCATAGGCTTTTTTTTTTTTTCCCCGCATAGCTGCAGAATTATTGCTTTCAATGAGGTAACCTGAGCTCTTTCATTCAGGCACTCCTAAGTTTCAGAGGTAGATAATGTCTTTTTCTTTATTTTGTTTGTGTTTTGTTCTTAAATGAAAGCAGATTCTGACATCACATGACTCAATGAGCTAAGGCTCCATTATTATGATGTTATACTGCAATGCTAAGTTTTGGCAATAATACTGGGGACCCCAAAACTAAGGACTTTTTGAATCCACGAGGCTACACTCACAACCTGTGTTGTGATACTACAGTTGCTACAGCAACCAGGAGAGCTAAAACATCTCCAAATAGGACTCATATCAAGTGGGAAGCTGGCAAAAATATCCAAGTGAAAATTCTTCTCAGCAAGGTGCAATTTCATACATCCTTCATTTCTCTGGGACCCATGAAGCTGTATCAGATTGCAGTTCACAGCCAAAATCCACTCCTGGGGTTTTGGAAATTGGTGGCTGGTACAGACTTTATTTTTCAAATGTTGTTTTGACAGGAGAGAGCCATCTTTTATATATGACTGCAGGTTAAATCTGGGCACTGACCTTGGAAAAGAAATCCTGAGCACAAGTTCTTGTTTGCAAGTCAGGTCTGGGTTTACACTTTATTCATTCACCTCCTAATACAAAATGTAAAGACTGTCCTAGGATCAAAACCCAAAAAGTCATTCTTGCAGGGAAGAGCTAAATGATTCATGTCAGCCAGATGCCAATTTGTATTCCTTCAGGTTGGATACAGATAGGCAGGTAGCCTAGGGGAGTGCCCTCACCATTGAGTTTCTCTTATAAAATGCCATTGTTCTGCCTTTCCCTCCAGCAATGGATTTGACTAAGGTCAAATGAATTTTTTCAAGTCAGTGCTGTTAGCACATTAGTCATTTTCTCAGAGTTCTTGCTGGGTTGAATCTTAGGTGTGCAGATCTAGATTTGGCCAAGGTACATGCAGAAAGGTGTCATGGCTGCTTTAGTGGAGAAAATATAGGTGCTTACAGATTTCCAGCCAGCTGAGATGGTGTCTGAGGCAAGTCTTCAGATGTCACTCTTAACTTGGAAATATTTGGTTTCCACCTGAGCCGCAGGGAAGGTGCCCATTTCAGAACTCTCTTTCTGAGTAATGCTTTCCTCAGAGGAACTGGTGGCTGCAGCTCAGCACAGTTATCATGGGATGTCTAATTTTAATTCATTAATAGTCTCCACATTGGTGGAACTATTAGTCTGATGCAATGTTATATATAGTTAAGTGACTTTTTGACTGAGAGTTTATCCCAGGCAGAATTGCATCCTAATATACTGGGCAAATTCAAAGCTATCCAAAGCTGTCAACACTACTCAGACATCTGGAGTAAGATATGCTGCAGTACTTTCAGGCACAATAGAGTATTGAGGCTTGGCTCTTCCTCATATTTCAAAAAAAGTGTACCAGACTATTACTATGATTTTCAAAACTATAAATAGTAATGATGACAGATTGTCCAGTCTATCAATCCGCATCCAGGAGTAGGCAAGTAATTGTCTTGACACCATCTATTTTTTTACTTTGTAAAGTAAATAACTACCTCTTCATCTAATGAGCACTGTAAAAAAACACTACTGTATGTGCCAAAGAAATGAGAAAGAGCCAGGTCTGATTCAGAGGTGGGTTGTGATTTGAAGGAATCTCATTTCAGTATCCTAATGCATATTGTTTGGGAAAACACACAAACAGTGTTTATAGGCAGCCAACCAATTCTAGTGTGGAGGAGCATGGAATGCCAAACAGCTTTTGTTTATAGCAAAAAAAAGTGGGTATTGGCTGAGAAGTAGTGTTTATGGTAATTGAGCTTTACAAGAAAGTAAAACTTAGAGGGGAACACAGGGGGTAGCATTTGCAGTGAAGCAGGTAATAAGGAGAGCTGTGGAGGCAATTCCTGATTAGCATCTGCTGTTTCAACAGCCGAGGAACAATGACTCGCATGTAAATGCATGTGCTCTGCTTTAAAAGACATTCCCTCTAGCACACCACCCTGCCTTCTGGTTTTGAGTCTCCTCGAGCCTGACTCTGGTTTGAAATCAGTGGAGGAGAAAGGAGAGTAACACAACAGATGTCTTAAAGGCTGGGAGCAGAGAGAGGAAAAGCCCTGTGGCAAAGGAGAAGGTGCTGTTGAAATATTTCCTCTCATTAATTTTTGGTGCCTCTAGTAGAGTCTGTATTTGTGCAAGTGTATATAAACTACAGCTGTGCACATAGGTGGTAAAGAGGTGGTGGTGCCAAAAGATGGCCATTGCACACACTAGAGAATATTTTCTCCATCCTATAAATGAATGGAACCTCTAGACCACTACATCTGCTTGCTCAGAGAAACAAAGCCACCTGTTTTAGGGCAGGATCACAAATTATTTTCTAGCTGCTGCAGTAACTGCCTTTATTCTGATGCTGGATAAAATACACTATTTCTTTTTGTTTCAGGTTAAAAGTTACTTTACAATTGAGAAAGCTGATAGTATGCTTGGTATTGTCAGCTTTGCTGACAAGTGGTAACTCAAGCCCTGGTAATACAAATACTGTGTACCCCATAACATTAGGAGAACTTGGTTGTGCACCAAGTGACCTTTAGTGCAGATCCAGTAAAGTACTTCATCTGTTTCTTCTCATATGGGGATCTGTGTCTTCAAGGACTTTGATTTACAGAAGGGGAACCTGTGACAGAAACAGCTGTGAAATTATTACACTATATAGGCAGCTGGGGATGGCACAGAGACCCTGAAAACATGTTAGCTGCTGGGTGTTAACTCAGTACTGCATGGGGCCAGGAGCAAAAAAAGAGAAAGAAAAAAACAATTTACAACTACTGCAAACAGAGAAGTGAAAATATGTTGTTTCCAAGTTTTTACTTCATGGAAAGATAACTGAGATAAATACGAAAAAGGGACTTGAGGGCTGGGAACTTTGTGTTCCAAATGCTTAGCAAGCTATCTTCCAGTTTCCCACATTTATCTCCTCCTTTTATATCTTGTATCTTTCACAGGCTTCAGAAAGTGGGTCCAAAGGCACAAAATCACTTTCACACAGAATCCTATTTTCTCATGATGTTTTAAATGTAATTTTATTTGTGTATTAACTTGCTGGGGTTTTTCCAAAGGATTTTGGTAAACTCTGTCTCAATATATGTACACACTGTTTAGTTTGTTACATGTGGTATTACAAAAACATATATTTAAATTATGTACTGTCTACTGGACTACAGTAATCTGTACTTAGGGTAACCTTAGTAAACAGTTCAGGAAAGCTGCCCTGTTACTGAATGTGACTTCTGGAAAGCATTCCAGTTTTGAGATGAATGCTGAGGATGTCAGTAGGAATTATTTTTCTTCAGAAATAAATTTGTACATCAAAATAATGTTTGCCTGTGGTATTTCAGGCCATGCAGACTCTAAGAAGTTATATATATTTTAATATGTTGGCAGCATCATTTCTTTAAAGCATCAGATACTAGTTATAAAGCATAGAGGGCGTTTGTTGGAGTTAGTACATTTAGAACAACTGTTTTCTCATTAATGCTATTTTAACACAGACTTCCTTAATCTTTACAAGGATATCCTATCAGAAAAATAAGCACAATAGTAATTATGACTGTATTTTAAATACTATTTTTATGCCTGTGTCGCTTCCTTTCTCCTTTGAACATACACTAACCCTGTTGCACAGATGGGAAAACAAAGGCATCCATGGGAGTTGAAATACCTTCATCTGGAGCTCATCTAGAGGAAGACACATCTCCTGGTCCCAGAACAAAGCTTTATTATAAGTCATATATTAAACCTACCAAGAGGTCTTTGTAAGTTAATAAAACAGAAGCCACACTTCACAGATATCATTTAACATTTACTTTTCCTCCCACAGGAGCTTTTTACACCTGAGTGCAAATTCAAGGAGTCTGTTTTTGAAAATTATTATGTAATCTACTCATCCATGCTCTACAGACAACAGGAGTCCGGGAGGGCCTGGTTCTTGGGGCTGAACAAAGAAGGGCAGGTCATGAAAGGAAACAGAGTGAAGAAAACAAAACCAGCAGCTCATTTTCTACCCAAGCCATTGGAAGGTGAGGTTCAGTCAATTGCTGCCAGATCCTTCTATAAATCCTACAAGAAGAGGGAATAGTCTCTAAAAGACCTCTGTGAGTGTGTGTTCTCTGCAAAGGGGACATTCCAAATGCCAATCCCCAGGATTCATGGAGCAGTTTTGCGCTTTGGCGTAGTGATGCTAGAAAGGGCATTTGTAAAAACATTTTTTCCAGGGATTAAGAGGTCATTTTGCAAGAAAATAAATATTTTGTGGAAGTGCATTGTGCTGTTTTAAAAATATTTTCTTGGCAGGGACAAAAGCTGTTGTGAATCTTGCAGCGAGAAAATAGTCCTTTCATTAAGCAGAATGAAATAATGGATCTTGTAGGATAATTGGAAGTTATAAAGGGAATGGATGAAACACTGGCATTTCAAAGGAAAAGCTTTCTAATACAAAACACAAAGGTCTCTCTATAAAATAAATAATTCTGTATTACTTAGCCAGTTGATTTAATGCATGTAATTTGTGGAAGGGGGCCTTTAAACCAAGATAGAAGCAACTAAAAGTCGTACTGATCCTACACACCAAAATTATGTCACACATTCTCTGAAAAGTGGACTTATTTATGTCTTCAATATTTGTTTAATATTTTAACTTAAAAAAAAAATATTAAAGCATCAGTTTGATAAATGTTTCTGTTTCATCATAAGGAAATAATCTGAATAATCCTTTTTTAACTTCATATTTGAACTAAGGTTTATGCCTTCATGCCTTGTCAAACAAAAGCTTAGATGGTTTTCATGACCTCTCAAACAATATTGACAGTTTATATGTCAATCCTTTTATATTAAAATTATAAGAATTGTAGGGAGGGAAAGCCAGTGCATTTGTAAAAGCAACAACAGTTCGTATGGATTAGAAAATAAGTTACTTTTTGCATTAGTGTTTGGATGGTCAGACTCTAACAAAATGGCTTAGACATAACGTGGTTTACATTGCCCATGAAATTCATCAAATATGACAGCTCAGCTATATAACTCCTTAGTTTATAGTTCCACTTCATGTTATTTGACTTAATATTTTTGTGTGTCATGGTGTTATTTAATCAAGCTCTTTTATTTAATCAGTAAAGTGTCCTAAGCACAGTGATGGGGGCACTCTGAAGATACAGATCATAACCAGCCTTTATGTACTCTAGAGAAGACGTTTAATTTTGGACTTTCAAAAGCCATAAAAGGATTTAGATCATGTCACTGGAAATGTTAGAACAAGTATTTGATTAGTTAATGATGCTGTGGGGCCCTTCATATTTATTATGAGACTTCACACCACTGAAGATCAAGGTCAGTTCTTTGATGCTCCTGCCCCCTACTCTAGGCAAGGGATGGAGAGATGGTGCTCTCTATGGCAGCATACAGCCAGTCCTAAAAGCATAGTGTGATGATTAATTCCTTTGACTCCTTTGATATATCTTTTAACATTGTTCTGATATAAATAAATGATACAGAAGTTAGATATAAATGGAAATATTACCTGATTCAGTGACATGGAAAATGAAATTGAATTATCCAAGAGCGTTCATCATTAAGGCAGCTCCATGTTGAAACAGTGTAATTAAACACAGGTATTTTCCTCAAAGAATTTGAAGTGGTTAAATAGGGACTGACGTGCACTGGCAAACTTTAAATTCCTTTAAGAATTCAGTTAATACTTTAATTTGGAGTTTTCTTCATGTCTACGTTCAGTGGGGTTCAGCGCTTATCGCATACATTTTTGGACAGGAAGAAGAAAAAAACCCAAACCTCTGGTGTACCCTCTGGAGTAGTGTGTTGGACATTTCATCAGTACACACCTGAAGAGATTATGGCCAAGCTCCTCAGATTGGGGAGACAGATGAACAAATATCTTTGTAGAACTGGACACAAGCCTAGTCTTGCAACATAGGAATAAGAAATACCACTGAAGTCTAGACAACTGTATCATACGATCCCATTTGTTAAACACCATCTGTTTCACTGTGTTTTACTTCTAAAAACTTGCAGAATATTTATTTAAGGGATGGATATATATATATATGCAGATGTGTGTGTATATATATATTTATTTTTTTTTGAGTCTGACACTCATGCAAAGACAGAACAGTCATTTTCCATTTCCAAGGCTTCTATAGTTTATGTTAAACAAGCAAACATACCATCTCCTTCAGTGTTTATAAGTCAAACACAGAAGAAGTGAAGAGTTAGGAGGGTCAAGCAAAGCTACCACTCACGCAGAGAAGTGTCTGTCAAACTAGTTTTCTTACATGCAAGAGGAACATGGATTCTATAGTAAATGAATCCTATTTGAGACAAGCTCTTGAATAAATTACATCCTTAAAAACGTGTCTCCTTTTCTCTTGTCTCCCTGCAGTTGCCATGTACCGAGAACCATCTTTGCATGATATTGGAGAAACAGTGCCAAAGGCTGGGGTAACTCCAAGTAAAAGCACAAGTGCGTCTGCAATAATGAATGGCGGGAAACCAGTGAACAAGAGTAAGACGACATAGCCAGATCCCCACAGGTGTTGTGACTTACTGTGTCCTGAGTACAGCTGAGTGATTTATCCTTGCCAGACTTCCCCTCTGAAGTGTCTGTGGATCAGCTTGCAGCAAGTTGCAGACCGGCCCATTGCTGTTTCTGAACTGAGTTGTTGCAAGCGGATAAATCCCAACAGGTAGCAGCTCCACCCGCAGCGAGAAGACACCTGGATGGACCAGCTAAACTCAGACCATGGAATGCCCTACCAGATATTGGAATGCCTTTTTAATATCTTTTCTGTGACTGTGACACTTCATGTGAATGACATACTTCACAAGTACACTTGATACCTTGCCTGCTGACAATTGCCCATAATCCCTTTTTGAGTCCAGTTTCAGCAAAATCCATGTGTTTAAGTTCTATTTTGTAGCACACAAATAATCAAGTAATTTCTAGTTAGATGCTGTAAACCTGTGCTATTATGGATTTCTCTTCTTCCCTTTTTTATAAGGCTGCTCGCTCCACTGTCTGTGACCTTTTGCAGGGATTGTGTTTCTCTTAACTTAAGTGTTGCCAGTGGCTTAGTTTTGAAAGCAATCAGGGAATCAGGAAGCCTTCAAAAATCTATTATAAATTATATCTATGAAGAATAGGATTGTTGTCTCTGGCTTACAATATTGATCAAATGTGAATACTGTTTAGTAACAGATACTGTGCTTCTGAGGTTGGCATTATAGTGGAGGGAAGAGTGTCAAACACAACCAGTGGGAAATTTTCTGAAATGAGTGTTTGGCATCCCCTTATAGTTTCTTTTTGTGTGTGTGTTTTATACATATCACAGGCTTACTGGTAATGGTAACATTTGCCTTGCCCAGCGAGCAAGACCCACTCATTTTTGAGGAAGTGGGTCCAAAGAATTTTGTAGGCCTTGTAGGCCTGAATTAAGGCTCATTTTTCATCTACTAAATCTTCATTGTTTGAAAAACAACCACCACTAATAAAAAAAAATAAAATAAGTAAGACTAACCGGAAATGTGCTACCTAAATCCATTTCAAATATAATCCTTTCCTGTTTTTAAGGAACTGAACTTAATGCCATTGTTATTTTTGGCTGAATCCCACACCTACTTAGCAAAGCATGGGCAAGGATGTTGTTGTGTTCTTTTTTGCAGCACCAATGCAAAGGGTAGTTACAAATTATAGTTTAATATTTCTGGTGTTTAAAAAAAAAAAAAAGGTTTTAAAACTGGAGATATTACAAAAATTTATTCTTATTTTTAGCTAAGCATGCAAAGTCCAGTCCTATGTATCTCACTGATACCCTAGTACATACCTCCACCCAGCTTCCTAGGATAATATGCCCACCAAATTGCTAGATTGAAGGTGCCTTGCCTTGATCTCTATATACTGTACTTTCTCCTACATGAACCTAGAAGAAATCAGAAACATTGTAAAATTGAAGCCTTGGATGACCAGACACACTATCAACACTTTGAGTTTGTCACTTGTGAACAGCGGAACCAATGTTAGGCTGAGGGTAAAGATTTAGAGAATGCCACAGGGATGCCACTGAAATAACTTACATAATAACTTACATCTAGGCACAGGCTTTCTGAAGTATAAAAATATGGGTATTCTCTGTATGCTTAAGAAGGAATTTCTTTCTCAGAAAGGGCAACAAGGACCAAACTGTACCTCAGTCTGGAAGACTGTCTGGCAATGCTCTCTTGGCCTCTTGTGGTTACCATGATATTTAAAGACAAAATGTAAAAGGACATCACTGTTCCTTTTTTAGCATTGTATTGCTGGCAAT